GAGGGTTTTGAGTGCTGCCGCAGCCAAAGCTGTAACAGCCCTGTCTGTCCTGGAACTAGCTCTGTAACCAAGGCTGGCCTCAAACTCACAGATCCGCCTGCCTCTGTCTCTCAAGTGCTGGGATTAAAGGCTGTGCCATTATTGTCTGGCTTCACTCAGATTTTAAAAACCAAAGGATTTTAAGTAGACTTATGGTTCTCATTGAGCAAATATTTATCGAGGGCTTGGGGATGTGGCTCAGTGTAAACACGCACCCAGCATGCATGAGGCCCCGGCGCCGAGGCCCAGGACTGCTGCGCGGGGAGGCTACCCCGATGGGCAAAGTAAGACTTAGTCTGGTGGGAGGAGACGTGGGCGTGTAAGTCTGTGTCAGTTTGTACTGAGGACAGTGAAGAGTCAGGACAGCATGGGACGGTGGAAACAGAATCAGGGCTGAAGGGAGGAAGAGCAGAAAGTCTTTTTCCAGTGATGGAGGGAGGCTGCTCTCCAAAGGCCAGGGTAGAGTGGCGGAAAGAGGGGGTGGCTCAGGCTGCTGTCCAGGAGGACTGCTCTGCTGAGGGACAGTGCGCCTGCAGGAGTCACTGGGCGAGCACACATGGAGGGCGGGAGCAGCTCAGGGGGGGTGCGGGAGGGCGCTAGAGGGGGATCAGGAGTCACTGGGCGAGCACACATGGAGGGCGGGAGCAGATGGTGGTGGAGAGGTGGTGCAGGGTCCTTGACATCCCATCCTCCATCTCTGAAGAAAACCCCTAAATTCAGTTTCACTTCTTTGGTATGGCCCTGCTGACTGCCACCCCAGACCTGCCTCACCTCATCGCCTGGCCTTTGGACGCTGTCCCTCATTGCATTGAACTTTCTCAGGTGTCTAGTGAGCTGGTCACTGGCTGACTCTGTCCTCTCACTTAGGTGGTTGTGGCGACAAACATTGCAGAAACCTCGCTCACCATCGAAGGCATCATTTATGTGCTGGACCCAGGGTTCTGCAAGCAGAAGAGCTACAACCCCCGGACAGGCATGGAGTCTCTCACCGTCACGCCCTGCAGCAAGGTCAGCCCGCATCTCTGTGAGGTCCAGGGAGGCAGATTGTCCCCCAGAGCATTTGAGGACAGAGTTCAGTGGTCTAAATACTCCAGACTTTTGAGTCAACACCGCCCTGGCCATGTGTTTGCCTCGGCTTTCTTTCTAGGCCTCAGCCAATCAGCGAGCTGGCCGTGCAGGTCGGGTGGCTGCAGGGAAGTGTTTCCGTCTGTACACGGCCTGGGCCTATCAGCATGAACTGGAGGAGACCACAGTTCCTGAGATCCAGAGGACAAGCCTGGGCAACGTTGTGCTACTGCTGAAGAGCCTAGGTGACCGGGCTGCCCGGGTCCTCCATCCTGCCAGGGTGGGTGGGGGGCGGGTGCTGGAGCTGGTGTGTGTGTGGGGGGACTCTAGCTCGGGGAGGACTCCCTTCCATGCTCCGTTCTCTCCAGGGATCCATGACCTGATGCACTTTGACTTCCTGGACCCTCCGCCCTATGAGACCCTGCTGTTGGCTCTGGAACAGCTGTATGCGCTTGGAGCCCTCAACCACCTTGGAGAACTCACCACGGTGAGGAGCCGGCGTAGGCTGGGACAGGGTGAAGGAGAGTCTAAAGGCTCTGGGAACCCCTGGGTGTTGCCAAGGACTCTCGTAGTGGTGTAAGAAACCTGAGGAAAACCGGCCTCACCTTTCCCTTCCTTTGTTTTAGTCTGGTCGAAAGATGGCAGAGCTGCCTGTGGATCCTATGCTGTCTAAAATGATCTTGGCCTCCGAGAAGTAAGTCTCACCCACCCAGCTCCTGCCACAAACTGTTCACACCGTCTCAGTCTCAAGTGCCATCTCTTTCTTCTCTTCGTTATGTTTTCTAAATAAATGTTATTTAAGATATATAAGAAGTCTTAAGCCGGGTGGTTGTGGCACACATCTTTAATCCCACCACTTGGGAATCAGAGGCAGGCGGATCTCTGTGAGTTCAAGGCCAGACAGTTCCAGGACAGCCAGGGCAGTTACAAAGAAGTAAGACAGAGAGAGCTCAGAGACCTCCGTCCGTTTTCGTTTGTCCTTTGAGGTCTGGCTGTGACCTCATCTCTTGCCTCTTGCTGTCCTCCCCAGGTACAGCTGCTCAGAAGAGATCCTGACAGTGGCCGCTATGCTGTCTGTCAACAACTCCATCTTCTATCGTCCCAAGGACAAGGTCGTCCATGCAGACAACGCCCGCGTCAACTTCTTCCTCCCTGGTGGGGACCACCTGGTTCTGCTAAATGTGTACACACAGGTCACTGGGAAAGGGGGATTTGGGAAGTGTGGGATACTTCTTTTTTGAAAGATTTATTTATTATTATGTACACAGTACTCTGCGTCCATGTAGAGGGCACCAGACCCCATTACAGATGTCTGTGAGCCACCATGTGGGTGCTGGGAATTGAACTCAGGACCTCTGGACGAGCAGCCAGTGCTCTTGGCCACTGAGCCATCTCTCCAGCCCCCAAGGGTGGGATCCTTCTGTCCTGATGTTAAAGCTTAGGCCTTTGTCTTGGCAGTGGGCTGAGAGCGGCTACTCTTCCCAGTGGTGCTATGAGAACTTCGTACAGTTCAGGTCCATGCGCCGAGCCCGGGATGTGCGAGAACAGCTGGAGGGGCTCTTGGAGCGTGTGGAAGTCGGTTTGACTTCCTGCCAAGGAGACTACGTTCGTGTGCGCAAGGTCAGGCTTCTTGTTAATGTTTTGTCTTTTTTTTTTTTTCTTTTTTCCTCTTTTTGTTTTTTTCAAGATGGGGATTCTCTGTGTAGCCTTTGCTGTCCTGGAACTCGCTCTGTAGACCAGGCTGGCCTCGAAGGTGGAGATCCACCTGTCTCTGCCTCCCAAGTTCTGGGATTAGAGACATGTGCTTCTTAAACCCACTTCTGCGGGCACACAGCAGTTCCCCTGCCTCAGCTCTTTCCTGGTGTTTACTGGAGCTTAGACAGTACATCAGTGGGTTCCCCACCTTGCTAGTTCTCCAGGAAGCTGAGCTCAGAGGTGGTAAGTGGAAGGCCCCCAGATGGTGCCTAATGGTATTTTCTCACCTGCTCCTTAGGCCATCACTTCGGGTTATTTTTACCACACGGCAAGGCTGACTCGGAGTGGCTACCGCACAGTGAAGCAGCAGCAGACGGTGTTTATCCATCCCAACTCCTCTCTCTTTGAACAGCAGCCACGCTGGTTGCTCTACCACGAGCTTGTCCTGACAACAAAGGAGTTCATGAGACAGGTGAGGGACCCGCTCGCTCAGGTGGGGGGGAGACGGGAGTTCATGAGACAAGTGAGGGACCCGCTCTCTCAGGTGGGGAGAGACCGGACAGGTGAGGGACCCGCTCGCTCAGGTGGGGAGGGACCGGAGTTCATGAGACAGGTGAGGGACCCGCTCGCTCAGGTGGGGGAGAGATGGGAGTTCATGAGACAGGTGAGGGACCCGCTCGCTCAGGTGGGGAGGGACCGGAGTTCATGAGACAGGTGAGGGACCCCCTCGCTCAGGTGGGGAGAGACAGGAGTTCATGAGACAGGTGAGGGACCCGCTTGCTCAGGTGGGGAGAGACCGGAGTTCATGAGACAGGTGAGGGACCCCCTCGCTCAGGTGGGGAGAGACGGGAGTTCATGAGACAGGTGAGGGACTCGCTCGCTCAGGTGGGGAGAGACGGGGAGACAGTATGCTGGCATCTTAAGCTCAATTCATATTTCTGGGACTGGCATTGAAACAAGGTTTATTAGTTTAAGTGTAATCAAATTTAATGTATGCTTGGGGAGTAGTCAGTGATAGTCCTTGGCACCATTACAAATAAATATAAAAAATCTTTTCTTGCAATTGTTAATGCCCTCCAAGATCTGAGAATTGTAATTCATTCAATAAATAGTTGAAGCTGTGTCTAAAGGCACAGGTCTGTAGTCCCTGCTGCTCAGGATGGGGCAGGACGACACACATTCAAGGTCTGCCTAGGTAACATGGAATGTGGGTCTGGAGCGATGGCTCGGTCATTTAGAGCACACACTGTTGTTGCAGAGGACCCAGGTTCAGTTCCCAGCATCCATAAATCAAGCAGCTCACAACTGCCCGTACTCCAGTTCCAGGGAATCCTCCGTCAGCCTTGCCTGGTCTCTGCAGGCTCTGCACTCATGCACACTCAGACACCTACACACACATATCCAAAGAAATAGAACTAGCGAGATGGTTTCGCAGTTAAGAGCACTGACTGCTCTTCTAGAGGACCTAGGTTCAATCCTCAGCACCAACCTGGTGGCTCACAACTGCCTCTAACTCCAGTTTCAGAGGATCTGACACCCTCTTCTGGCCTTCTTGGGTACCAAGTATGCAGGTAATATATAAACATGTGCAGGCAAAGCACCCATACACATAAACAATGTTTTAGGTGTGGAAGAAACTTAGAGGGAGAGCTGAGGATACCTCAGTGAGAGTCTTCTGTAGCAAGCATGAGAGCCTTGGTTCCTCTCCTGAATAAAGAAAATGTGCACTCAGTAGTGGGGCTGGAGAAGCAAGCAAAGCAGATGACCTCTGCCCCGACAGAAGGCTTCTCGGGACTCACCTGCTGTCTGGAGCGTGTCAGGGTGTGTCTGCCGTTGGCATGAAACAGCCTCAGAGAGGAAAGAAAAGCCTTCTTAACCACACAATGGAGATTCTGGCTGGAAAGTAAAGGAATCCTACTGCTCTCTGTTCCCTCGTTAGGTACTAGAGATCGAGAGCAGCTGGCTTTTGGAGGTGGCTCCTCACTACTACAAGGCCAAGGAACTGGAAGATCCCCATGCTAAGAAAATGCCCAAAAAAGTAGGCAAGACACGAGAAGAACTGGGCTAGAAGATGACAACGGATTGGACCACACAGCTTCATATTTCTTCTATACTTTATTTAATACCTACTAAATAAAATTATTTTTGGAATGAAGCGTGTGGGAACTTTGGGGCCCAGAGAAAGTGACATGAAACTGTACCTTGTTGTTTCCTTAAACTTTATTATTTACAAATTAAATTACACAGCAGCTTTACACAGCATGAGATGGGAAGAAGGCAGGAGAGTGGAGGGGAGGTGGCCGGCTCTGGACATTCCTGTCCACCTTCACCTCCTCTTGTGCGCAGCAAACTCTTCATGACGCCTCCACCCAAGTTGGGCTCAGGCCTTGGAGCACAGGTGTAAGTTGGGCTCTGGTTCTGAGAGCCCCAGGGCCACCAGAGCACCCACCAGCAGCTTCTTCACAGGCGTCGAAGGTGAGTGTGAGGGCGTCAGCTGCAGAGACAGGTTAATGAGGCTGGGGGGACACAGACGGTTCTGCCTTTCACCCCGCCCCACCCAGTCCCAACACTCACCTTGTCTAGGTGATGACGGCAAATGAGGCCACTGGAATTCAGGTAGAAGGTGGAATAGGCATCAAAGGTCCTGGAGAAGGGAGAAGCTTTTTGAGGGGGGCGAGTCATCCTGAGACTTAAGCATTTGTTAAAACGAGTTCCTAAGGGTCTCGTGTGTTCCATCACCTGAACTGCTTTACTTGAGCAGGATCTTGAATCCCAGGCTGACTTCCTACTCTAGCTTGAATACTGGGACCCATCAGTCGCTCCACTATGCCCAGCCACCTAATAATTTAAAACTTCTAATGCTGCCGGGTGCAGGTGGTGCATGTCTCTAATCCCAGCACTCGGGAGGCAGAGGCAGGGGGATCTCTGAGTTCAAGGCCAATCTGGTCTACAGAGCGAGTTCCAGGACAGGATTCAAAGTTACAGAGAAACCCTGTCTTGAAAAACAAACAAACAAAAAAACCCCAAACCCTCCTAATGCTCAGGTTGGATTCAGAGCAATTAAAAGCAATTAAATCATAATGCCCCTTTTACAGAAGACCTAGATTACTGCTCTGTGCAGCGAAGTTGGTGACCCACCATTGTTTTACTGTGTGGGTGGGCGGGCAGGTGCATGTGCCAGAGCAGAGGATGATCTGGGGAGCAGGTCCCCCTCCTCCCAGCATGTGGGTACCTGGTATTGAGCTGAGCTGCTTGTCAGACTTGGAAGCAAGCGTCTTTACTTACCCACCAAATCATCTCACTGGCCCAGAAACCATTTAAACACTGACAAACAATGGTGGAGGCTGAGCCTAATAAGTTTGGGGGATGTACTAGCCAGAAACTTAACCACGTTGTTCACCCAGGGTCGTGAAACTAAATTTAGGATGCAGTATTTTTATTCATTTGGTTTTTGAGATGGTTTCATATAGTCAACTCCTGATCCTCCAGGAAACGGGAATATTTTGTTCATTAAGAACATATCACATGTCAGGTCCAAGTAGCATAGAAGAAACTGAAATTCAGGGATTTCTTCTTTTCCTTCTGAGACAGGCTGTCTTAGAACTCACTGTGGAGACTAGGCTGGCCTCAAACTCAGAGATCTGCTTGTCTTTCCTCTGCAGTGCTGGGATGAAGGTATTTATCAACACCACCCAGCCGGGGTTTGTCTGTCTGTTTTCCCCTTCCTTCCTTCCTTCCTTCCTTCCTTCCTTCCTTCCTTCCTTCCTTCCTTCCTCCCCCCCTTTTGTTTTTTTTTGTTTGTTTTTTTGTTTTTGGTTTTTCAAGACAGGGTTTTTCTGTGGTTTTGGAGCCTGTCCTGGAACTAGCTCTTGTAGACCAGGCTGGTCTCGAACTCACAGAGATCCGCCTGCCTCTGCCTCCCAAGTGCTGTATTTGTTGTTTTTTTTTGAGACAGGGTTTCTCTGTGTTCAGTCCTAGCTGTCCTGAATGTACTTTGTAGGCCAGGCTGGCCTCAAACTCACGGAGATCCTCCTGCTTCTGCCTCCCAGGTGCTGGGATTAAAGCATGCGCCACCACTGCCCGGCTCTGACTGGGGTTTCTTAATAAACACAAAAACCTATTAATTTTATTAAAAGTAGACTGGACAATCGATATGGTTTTGAGTACAGGTACTTGCAGGCACGCCTGTACACTGAGTTCAATCCCCAGGATCTACATGGTAGAGAGAACTGATTCTCCCACTTACATGCTATGATGTGTACTGCCTCATGCACACCCGGACCTTAACTTACATGATGTGATGTTTACTACACATGCACATAAACACAAACAAATAGAAGTTTTTAATGATTTTTTTTAATATTTATTTATTTATAATGTATACAATGTTCTGTCTGTGTGTACTCCTGAAGGTCAGAAAAGGGCATTACAGATGGTTGTGAGCCACCATGTGGTTGCTGGGAATTGAACCCAGGACCTCTGGCAGAGCAACCAGTGCTCTTAACCTCTGAGCCATCTCTCCAGCCCCCCAAAAAATTATTTTTTAAAAAATTTTAAAAAATAGACAAAGTCTCTACCCCCAGGAAATTTTAAGATTTATTTATTTATTAAGTATATAATGTTCTGTCCGTATGTATGCCTGCATGCCAGAAGAGGGCACCAGACCTCATTTCAGATGGTTCTAAGCTATCATGTAGTTTCTGGGAATTGAACTCAGGACCTCTGGAAGTGCTCTTAACCACTGACCCCTCTCTCCAGCCCCTCCAGTTCCCCTCAGGAACTCTATAGTCAAATCAGAATAACTCAAGCACTGTTGGGAAACAAGACTGTAGTGGCATTTCATAAATAAAGCTTGCCTGAAGATCAGTGAGTAAAACAGCCCCACTGGTCAGCCTTACAGTGGTGACACACACCTTTAATCCTAGCCCTAGAGAGAATTATAAAACGAGAGGAGACAGCTCTCAGACATTCTTATTCTAAGATTCCTGAAGGTAGGATGGCCACTTTGGACTGAGGTCGAGATAGGAGCCAGTGGCTGGCTGTTCTGCTTTTCAGACCTTCAGGTTGAACCCCAATTTCTCTGAATTTTTATTAATTGTGCATCACAAGATGACCAACTCCCAAACGAGGACCATTAGGGAAGTCACCGCAGCTCGGGCCCCTCTTACCGGTAGAGATCCTCTTTATCACGCCTGTAGAAACGCAGGAAGAGCATGTGTATGGGCAGACCTACGAGCCTCCAGCGGGCTTGCAGGGTCCAGTTCTCAGGGTGGCGGGTCAGCTGTAGAATCTCCAACCGAAACTGTGCAAAATAGTTCCAAGCCAGGAAGCGGCAAAAGGTCAGGGACATAATGTACCATGTCCGGCCCCTGTGAAAATCAAAGGCACAGGGGCATCAGGACTATAGAACTAGAAAGCCAAACTGGCTTCTGTCCGAGGAGTGGGGAAAGAGTCTCAAGAAGGAGCCTGGAACCTTCTCTGAGACAGAGCTCGAGTGTCGAGCACTGGGTCCTCTTCTCCCTCCCTCACCCCGACTCTCACTTGGTACGGATGTTCAGGATCTCATTGGTGAACTCCACATCCATTGAATAGAGAGTGTAGTCATGGGAGCGAAGAAAGAGAGTAGGAAGCTAGGCGGAAGAAGACGGAGTCAGCCCAGTCTGGCCTTGAACCTGGAATCTTCTCCCTGTCACCCTGGTTTGGCTCATTTCTCGGTTATCTATTTTTAGGGTCTAACTTCCACTCCCACCTACGACCGAAAGGTCATCTCCAGTTTAGCTGTCCTTCATTCCGACCGAGGGACACCCGTTTCCCCAGGAAGCTACTTCACGGCACAGTTCTACGCCTGCCCCGTGCTGCCATGATGTCAGTTGGCTAACTTGCCTCCATATTCTTTCCCACCCCCGATGGACTGCTTACCTCGTGTCTCAGTTTCTCATGCATGACAGCCAGGTGCTCCTCCATACTCTGATCTCTTGATGGGGTGTCAGGGGAAGGATGGGAGGCTCCAGGGGCTTGGAAAGGTATCAAAGCCCCAGGATAGGGGCAAGGGGGTCCCTCAAAAAAAAGGCTCCTAAGCCCATCCAGACAACCATTGTGCAATTCAGGTCCTGGTCCCTCCTCCTTCTTTCCCAGAGGAAGAACCACCCACAACGAGTTGAGAGCCTGAACCTGAGAGAGAGGTGGTGGGAGAGCCTGAGGAAGAGGGTGGGTGGGAGGATGTGGGGGCGTGAGTGACCAGAGAAGAGGAAGAGAGGGAGAAGCGGGTGGAGTGGAGTGGGGCCAGATGGGTGGGAATGGTAGAGTCCGAGGAGAAAGCTGGTCCTAGAATAAGAACAGAAATTAAAAAAAAAAAAATCAGATGTCTAAGCTAGTCATGGTGGTATTAGGGAGGCAGAGGCAGGACTGCCCATGAGTCCCCAGCCAGTAAGACCTAGTTTCAAAAACCAAACAAATTAAATAATGCTTCACTGAAGCTGGGCTGCTGACGAGCCGCATGTCCTACCTGCTCCTCTGGCAGAAGAGGGAAGTACTAGAGGAAAGAGGATGGCCTCATCACTATCTCCAGTGCACACACAAGGAAAGGGAGTCATGACAATAGGACCAGGGCCACCTCCCCAACTTTAGAAAAAGCACCTTTACATTTCCAATCCCCCCCACCTGAAGGAGCCAGTTTTGCATCTCTGACTCCACGAATTAATAAGAATATGTTTTATGAACGAATGAAGAACCAGTTTATTGTAGCATGGATGAAATGATGTGACCCACACACATCTGTGTTCCTGACTCTGAAACTGTGCTGGGCAAAGAACACGCAGGTGAAAGGTACGAATGTTGGTTCCGACTCTACTGGAACCTCCATGACTCTCTCCCTGCGCCTCGGTGACAGTGTGAGGACTATACAGGATAAGGGAACTATTATCATTTTGGCTCCTCGGAATGACATAATTCTGGCCGACCGCTGAGGCGTGAACTCCTACGGTCGCTAACTGTTACTACAAGGATGGCAGGTCACCCTAGGTCACGACTGATTCCAGGTCCCTTGGCTCCCGGGGAACCCCAGGGGCAGGGGTACCCCGGTGCCCGGCCTTGCCCTCCAGGGGCCTTCCCTGCCGGGGGCGTGGCACTCGGGAGCCCGGACGGGTCCGCGGGGCCAGCCTAGCAACCGAGGACCGCTCTGCAGGTGCAGAGCAGGCCCGCAGTTCCGGTCTCTCCGCCCTGCCCTTCAAATCACCTCCAGGCACAGGTAACGGCGGGAGGCTGGCGCGCGGCGCTGCACCTCACCGGGGACGCCGGTCCCCGGACCCCGTTGATCTCCGCCAAGCCCGCGCCCCCTAACGCGTGCGGCGGCGGCCTGGGAAGGGGCTGCGGGGGCCATTGCGCCTGCGCGGCGCCCCGCCCCGCCCCGCCCCTCGCCGGCTCCGCGGAGGGTCTTCCTCCCGCCCCTCGGCCGCCTCCGCCTCACCTGGGGTCGAGCCTGGTAGGCGCGGAGGCAGGGCCCGAGGCGCCGGGCGGCCCCCCGACTCGGGCGGTACATGGTGTTCCGGGGGTGAGCGGGCGCCTCCCCGCGTCCCGTCTCGTCACTGGGCAGCGCGCCCCGGGGCCGGCTCCGTGAAGGGAAAGCAGGGAGGGGGGCCGGGGCCGAGGGAGGGAAACGGAGACGCCGTGCGCCTGCGCAGTGTGGGCCCGCAGCCGCCGAGGGACCGCTGCTGCGCGGGTTGCGCGCCTGCGCTCGGCGGACCGAGATGCTCCAAGAGCGCCTGCGCAGCCTCTGCCGGGCCTGGCGAAGTCTGCGCGAAGGTAGAGCTGAATGTGGTGTAATGTGTGAGCTGAAGCTACGACAAGTCACTTGTTTCAGTGGCCATCGAGATAAAAAATAAATACTTTTATTGCTCTGGTTAAAAATAAGATACAAACGATCTGAAGCTGACAGGCCTGTTGAATGAATGAATGAATGCATCCATTGTGAGGGCCGAGCTTTAGCTGTGTCCTGTAGTGAAGGAGAAATAATACGGACTTGGAGAGAGTGCCAGGGGGCTGTGGTCACCAAGGCCTGGTGCTGCGGCGTTCCTGAAGGTTTCGAATGAACCTGGCGTTGATTATGTCCCCACCCGCCGTCCACGACTGAGCTGGTGGAGCCCGGACCCTCGGAGCAACTCTGTGCGCAGTAGCTTCCTCCCCAGACCCATCCTGTAACAAGACCTGATCCTCACTGAGCGACCTGGACCTGGTGGGCGGGGAGAGGAGAGCAGGTTAGAGTTGCTAACGGGAGCTACTGTTCTGTTCTTCAAGGTCGCAGAGAAGACGTGTTGGGTTGTCAGGTCAGACTGGGACAATTAACAGGTCCAAACTTGAGACCATGGCGGAGGGAAGCACCAAAGCTCAGCCCATGAGGAAGAAGACCTAGTGCGGTGTTAGGTAGAAAGATGCGTGGGAACCGGCACCCGGTTCACAGACTTAGAGGAAGCGAGTGAGAGTATCGTTAGGCGGTGTCAGAGGTGCTGGCAGCTGTTAGGGGGACGTGTGGACCTCACCTATCCTCTGCTTCCTCTTCCCCCTGCTTCCGTTCTTGGCTGCCTGTGGAAATACCAGGCATCTGGGGAGACTGGAGTAGTGTGTGTGTGGGCCACATGATTGGAGAATAAGAAGGAGTGCCCACTTACCTGTACCCAGGGATGAGGTATGGCTTTCCCCATGGCGGCTGTAGTGGCAGCTCTGGGCTACCAGCCCCTGGGGAGTCCCCCTGTAGAAGAAATGGTAGATGATGGGGAAGAGGCTCAGGAGGAAAGGTGGCATGGAGGGGTTGGAGAGAGGAGGAGCAGCATGGGAACAGAACGACGGGCAGCTGTCACCCAGAGGGATCCTATCTAAGCTTTTCCCAGCAAAGGTAGGGGAGGGCTCATTTTATACCTCACGATTTTCTGACACATCCCTGCTGTCTTGCTTTATTCCAATTGGGGTGATGTGGTATGTGATGTGATCCAGTTATGTCATCAAAACACTCATGCATGCAAGAGAAGAGCTTGTTGGACCATGTGACCTGATGTTTGGAAAACATGGTTGCCCTTAGATATAAGAAATCTCAGACCAGGCTGGAGAGATGGCTCAGAGGTTAAGAGCACTGGCTGCTCTTCCAGAGGTCCTGAGTTCAATTCCCAGCAACCACATGGTGGCTCATAACCATCTGTACTGAGATCTGGCACCCTCCTCTGGCATGTGGGCATACATTGAGGCAGAATGTTGTATATATAATAAGGCAGAATTTAGGAGGAAAAGGCTGTCTTTTCACGGGGGTGACATACTCTGTTGGACTATTATTATTATATTACTATTACTGAGACAGGGTCTCACTGTACAGCCTTGGCTGGACTGGAACCTGCTACGTGGACCAGGCTCCCTCCAAACTCTTATCAAGATCTGTTCGCCAAGAGCTGGGCTTAAAGGCATGTGCCACCATGCCCGGTGCCCTGTGGGGATGGATTGGGGCAGACATGAGGAGGGCTGGCCAGGGGAAGGAGGTAGAAGTCGTGGGCGGGGAGAGGACCTAAGGTTCCCAAGTGGATAGCGAGGTCTTACATACTTATTGCAACTCTAGGATAGAACCAGCAATAAAGACCGGGCAGGGCAGACTGAGAAGGGGGTGGGTGGGTGGGTGGAGCGGCCCTGAGCTCGGCTGCAGATCTCAGATCTGAAGATGAGGAAGAGAGGTAGGGGCCCCAGGAAAGTAGGTGAGGCACAAATGAAACTTAACCGCTTCTCACTGAAAATGTCAATTTAGAAAACAGAAGAATCCACACTTTATTGAGACAACACTGAGAGGGAGAAGAGCCAAGTGGGGAGAGGGAGGTCCTGCTCCCAAGGACTTGAGGGAACACGCGGGGCACCTGATCTACCAGGCAGTCAGAGGGCGGGGGAGGGAGGGCAGCAGAAGGGTGATCCCCAGGTCATCTCAAGACAGTCTCCCGGGTCTATTTAGAGGGAGGCAGGGAGGTTAGAGGGGAATCCAGGATCTAATGGATCAGGCTTATCTTCAAAGACACAGCTAAGTGGTCCTGGAGTTTGCTGGGATCTACTGCCAAGAGAGGCTCAGGTTATCTGAAGTAAGTGGTGTTGTCTGTGGGTCTCTACACCTGAGACATCTACACAACACTCGGAAAGTAAGAGTTTGGCAATGTTGGGAGGACCCTGCTGGGAAGCCAAGGGGTCCTTGTCCGGGCAGCCTGTCAGCTTGGAGGCTGCCGTCAGCAGACTAACGGACAGGTCTGTTTGGCAGCAGGGTTAGAGCTGCCAGTGGGCACTGTGGAGGGAGTATCCACTGACAGGACACTCCTTCAGGGTTTTCCTGGCAGGGGAGGCCCTTCTTCCTTCCCTGATGGTCTGGAGTCTGACCGTAAGCAGACTGTGCTTCTCTAGGGAGTCGGTAGGAGCAGAGTGGGCTGCCTGTGGGAGAGCATAATGCCGGGGTAGGTGGGGGGTGTCTTCTGCGGTAAGAAAAGCTACAAAGTGTTTGGCTGTTTAGAACCCTGGCAACCCAGCTGTTCAGGGAAGGGGAAGAAAAGAATCCTGATGGAAGAGTGGGTTGCAGGGTTTGGGAAGGGGGAGGGAAAGGGGCAGCTGTCAGTATCGGCTCTCATCAGAGCGGGGAAGGGAGCTGTGGAGGGATGTTATGGATAGGAGGAGGGGAGAGGGAAGGCAGGGAGAGAGAAAAACAGAGATGTCAGAGGCGAAGGAGAAGCTAAGAGGAGACATAAAGGACACACCCACTCCCTGCCTGGAACCCAGTGGTTCCCAATCTGTGAGACACATGCAAATGTCAAGCCAAGATTCCCCCAGTTTGAAAGGCTCAAGGCCCCCACCCGATGGATCCTGTCTTCCTGTTCTTTTGATGACCCTCGGAATACCACTCTGGTCCCTGCTCTATATAAAGCCCGGCAGACCCGTGTCACAGAAACTTGTGTTTCTGGTAAAGATTGCACTGTTTGACATTCCTGGGGGTTCCTCTTATCCTTCACCGTGGCTCCCAAACTTGCAGGCCCTCTTACCTGGTGCGTCTGCGCTGAGCTGGGCTGCCCCCAGGGTCAGAGGCCAGCAGAAGGCGGGCAGTAGGGTGTGGGGGGCAGAGACGCAGGGAGCGCAGCAGCTCCTGCTCTGGCACAAAGGGTCGGAGGGGACCCCGATCCGGCGAGTTTCCCAGGCTGCTAGAGCGTGGAGGTGGGTGAGCTGGCGGTGTGGCCCGGCGAGGGGCCCTGTTCAGGGGCCAAGGAGGCTCCACAGCCACCTTTAGGACTGGGGAGCAGGTAAGAGAGAGAAGAAAGGGGAGAGTCACAATAATAAAGGTCAGGCAGGAGCGGCAGCCGTGGCCTTTAGTTTATTACTGTCTCGGGCTACCTTCCCTTCGCCACTCCCAGCTCCTCCCCTGGCCTCCCCGCCGCCCACCCTCCTCCCCACCCTCCTCCCTACCCCCTTACATTCTCTGTCACTGGAGGAGTATGGCTTAATGTCTCCCTCTGCCCTTTTGGGTGGCAGCTTCCGCGCTGGAGCTGGTGGTAGGGATACAAGGAAGTTTTAGGAGATGCACGTTCCACACCTCCTCCCTGCCGCTTCCCCAAGATCCCAAACTTCCGCTCCCCGACACCACAGCTCCTGGGAAAGCCAGAACAGAAGCCGTGCTGTGGCAAAGCCAGCACACCAGAGGGAGTCGGGGAGGAATGCTGGAGCACTTTCGGGGGAGCCAGAAGGAGCAGGCCAAACACGGAGTTTCAGGAGAAAGATCCAGGGGAGGCTGGGGCCTGGGAAACACAGGAGAGGGTGGCTGAGGGGAGGTGAGCTCTTACTGTCCGTGGGTGTTGTCAGGCCCCCCTGGGGTTCTGGGGCAGTGGAATAGTCCCAGCTGGGCCAGTGAGGACCCTGGGTCCCTCTAGATGAGATGGACAAAGCCCTTGGTTAATTGGGAATTGTTCTGGGGAGGCGGGGAGAGGAGGTGCAGAACCTCTCCTTTCTGTACATAAAAGATATGGAGACTGAGGTTTATTAGGTTTTAAAATGGTAATAAAAGAATGTGGCGGCCCTGCCTTTAGTACCTGCGCTGGAAAGGCAGAGGCAGGCCTGACAGGTGAGTTCCAAAGTGAGGCCCTGGCTCAGAGAACACACCTGTAATCCCAGCACTCAGGAGGAAGAGGCAGGTGGATCTCTGTGAGTTCTAGGCCACCCTGGTCTACATAGTGAGTTCCAGGACAGTCAGAACTATACAGAGAGATCCTATCTCAACCCCTTTCTCCCCAAAAAGAAGAGGAAAAAATGTGGGCATCTACAAAATGGCTCCAGCAAGCGGGAAATACTATATGGCAAGGGTGGGTTACCTCCCTTTCTTAGGTTCTGCATTACAAACAAGGATGGAGACCCCAAGCAGCTCTCTGTGGGTCTGCATCCATCCCAGATGGAAGCTCAACCTTACTGCCTGCTGGACAGTAGCCTCAGAAACCACGGCGGGTCATGGACATGATGGGCCTCTGGGAGCCTGGGCTAACTAACACTAACAAGGAGCAATGAGCTGTTCTTTGGGCCACGGTTACTAGGCCAAAGGGAAGGTACTAGCCACAAGGCTATCCCAGGAAGGAGGCCATTCTGCCTGGGCCAAGCAGCACCACACCACTGAGGATGTACTGCAGAGGGAACAGGGGAGG